AGGTCTTTGCAAACAGGCAAGGGTGGAGGGGGTGAAGGGAAGGCAAGGGAAGGGGAATAAAAATAAGAAGCAAGAGACTCATGTAATGGTACAAGATCCCAATGATGAATGTAACTGTATTTTATATGGAAAGTGTACCAATAAACTTAATGGGGAACAAAAAAATAAAGACACCAGTCACTGTAGGGCCCACCATTAAGAAAAAAAAAAAAAGTGTTTAGGAACCTATTAAAATAACAATGAATAGCTTTCAGGATGCGACATTAGAATGTAAAGGAGATTGTAGAACAAAATGCAGATTATCAATTTAAAGAAATTATAGATGATGATAAAGGAATGACATTAAGAGTGATTTTGAATTTCTTTTTCTTTTTTTTTTTTGGTACCGGGAATCAAACTTGGATCCTTGTGCTTGTGCAGCAGGCAGCAAAACCACTGAGCTAAATCCCCCGCCCCATAAATTGATTTTTATTTAACTGTAATCCTATTTTTTATATAGATCTAAAAATACTAAAATAATAGTAACAACAAAGTGTTTAATAGAAGAAATGAAATTACTTGAAAAATAGTTCTTAGATGTCTTCACCTCCTAATCTGATATGTACATTTTAGTTTGATTTCTGAGTTTGGAATCTATTAGGAATTGCCTCTATTTTTTTTTTGTATTAAATGATTGGTTTCTTAACTTTTATTTTCTCAGTACATGTTTGCAATACATGAAGTTTACTGTCATCTTAGTGAGTAGGTACATGTACTTAACACATCTTGATTATATTCCCTGTCTTCGCTCCACGCATCTCCCTCCCTCTGTCTCTAGGTCCCCTTTCCCCATTTCCATTATTATTGCTATTATTATTGCTTCTAGTTTGTGTTTAAGACATATAATGTTTATGTTCAATGTGGATATTTGATACATGTTTGGTATATGTCTTTTCATTTCTCCTTCCCCTTTCTCCCTTCCCTCCCTCTCAGTCTCTGGGACAGCTGTCCATTTGCAAAAGATTGGGCTCCCTGTTTCTTTCTATTGACCCTTTATCTATCTCTGTGTTTATAAAGCACTCCTCTCTCGATTCACTGTCCACACTTGGTGCTGGCTATTGCCAGTTAACAGGCATCATAAGTCAATGTACAGCAAAACTCAGTTGCAATTCCAGATTTTCAGCTGTAAGTTGAGTGGTCCCGAAGTTATGACTTTGCTTCCTGGCCTTTGTTTTCTAATTTGCAAACATGGATCTGAGAAGCACCTACTTCACAGCACGGTTGTGATTCAGCAAGATGAGCTTGTGGGAAGTGGTTCAGGGGCTAAGCAGGAATAAAGGAAACAAGACCATCCAGGAGTCCTAGTGAGGCTGAAGGATGGACTGTTGGAAGCACATTATGCTGTTGTCACTACAGTTGTGTATGTTTGAAAAATTCCAAGATAAAAACAAGTGAGAGAAGGTGATGACAGCAAGTGATGCAGGTAACTGTGAAGACAACAGGTAATGATTTTGGTGTTGAAGTGGAGATGGTGTTGGATGATGGACGTAATAGTGACGGTGGAGACAGGGCTGGTGGTGACAGTGTGTGGAGAAGGTGTGGGTGGCCATCAGATGGTGGTGGTCGTGGTGGGGATGATGCTGATGAGGAGGGAGGAGAGGAGGTCATGGTGAGGACAGTGGTGACAGTGTACATGGTAATGTCAAGCCCCCACCGTTTGACACCTACCCATGGAATCCTTTATTTTGTGGCTCTCAATAACCTAGCTGCACATTATGCACTAGAATCTTGCTAAATCAAATTTTGCTACAGATATTTCTCTGATTCCTTGCATAATCACTTCTTAAAATAATTTATAGAACTTCATTGTGGGCCAAGAACCTTATTGAATGCTTTGTAAATGCGATGTCATGAAAAGTTCACAAACATCTTACGATGCATATCTTATAATGATAATTATAATTATCATAGGAAGAAATGAAGTTTCAAAGAGATTACGTTACTAGTTTAAGAGTCATGTTGTTAGGAAATACAAAGCTAAAACTTAGGCGAAGTCTGCTTGAGTCCAAAGCTCATGAACAACTTTTTTTTTCTGAGAATGTATGCTGCAGTGTCCCTTGGGAGAGACATGTAACATGAATAACTATGGATATTAACAGGAAGCAGTACAGCCTGGAGAAAACTGAAGATAATGTACTCTATATGAAGATATTCATATCCAACTTTCCCTTAAATACAGAAACCACGAGCTACCAGCTTGCAATCCTGCATAAGACTTGATTAAAATTAATTGACTTGATTAAGTGCTTGATTGAAAATTGAATTCTGTATGTCTTGCCAGAGAAATTATACTTAGTTACGTCCTCAAGGGCTCCCCTTCTGCCAGCTTTTTCCCCCTTTTTGATTTATGCTTCTCTCCTGTTCAAAAAGAATCTACTTGGAAGTGGTCTGCGTGTCCACCAACAGATGAATGGATAAAAACAATGTAGTATTTACACACAAGGAAGCACTGCTCTGCCATAAGGAAGGATAAACTTTGAGTCATTTGTAGGAAAATGGATGGACCTTGAGACCATAATGTTAAGTGAAATAAATCAGATACACAAGCTTAGATATCACATGGTTTCCCTTATGTGAGAAACCCAAATTATAAATAAAAAGTAAAATAAAAGATAGATGATAAGCAGAGAGACAGATCTTTCTCAAAGAGGAAGGGGATCAAGAGATGGGGGGAGGGAAGGGAAAGGGGATAAAAACTGCATTAAGAGCTGGGGATTTAGCTCAGTGGTTTCGCCGCCTGCTGCGCAAGCGCAAGGACCCAAGTTCGATCCCCGATGCCAAAAAACAAAACAAGACAAAACAAAACTGCATTATGTACATGTGCCAACTCCACACAAGAAATATAAACACGATGTGCTACAAACATATACTAATAAAAGATAAATAAAAAATATTCTGTGGAAACTCAATGTAAAGATCCCTTATTCAGATGAGAGGACGGTTCTCTTTTGACTCTTCATTTGAAACCAAGCACACTAAAGTAACAGTTATATGTAAAAGAAGTAATAATATACATCAAAACCGCTCAGGGACCCTCAGTGATGGTGATTTGGAGAGATTTGGATCCATGATCGGATGTAAAAAAAAACATTTTATCAGGAAGAGAGAGAAATCAAATTTCATTAAATGTTACACACTATATGCAGCACCCAATATTTTATAATTAAAGTCATTTTATTTTTGATTACTTTGTGTCCTATTAAGTTGATTCTATGATTACTTCTCCACTGAGTCATAACCAGCTGATTGAGCAATGTTAGCCTGTAAATGACTTTGCTGTGGCTAGGAATAAGGCCTACAGCCTTCCCACTGTGAACCCAGCATTTCATTGTGCTGGGCTGTTTACATGGAGGTGACAGGCCTGTATCTTTTTAGATTTTGTTTTCCTCATTTTAAATAACAAATTGGTTAGGTGTTACATGCGCTTTAGCCTCTGCTTCTTAAAGCTTTATCATTTTAGCTCACCTTATAACACTTCATCTACACATCTCCACATCACATGAGTGTGTTAAGACATCCCAGTAGGAGCCAACTATCCCACAACAGCACACACACTCCTTGCCAAACAGAATGGAAAATGAACATGACACACGCCCATATAGCAACTTTAAGAGACAAAGCATCAGGACAAGTAAGAAATTCTCCTTGAAAAGGTTTCTAAAGCCAGAATATTTTTGTAGACCCCAGATAACAAATGACACATTTTCTTTGTAAAATCACTAAATAGGTACTTACTTACCCTACAGAGAAAAAGTGCTTGCTTCTCACCCAGTCTGATGCCTTCTCAGTGCTAACAAAAAAAGGAAGTATACTGCTACTTATCTTGAGCTCCAGTTTCTCAAAGACTCTCGTGGTTGGGCATGAAGGCTGGCTTTGTTTTGGGGAATTTGCAAAATGCAAGGTTCATGAATTCTCTTTCCTTAGAGTAATTGACATAGTGCATTAGCCAGAGTGGGCCATATTAAAGTGTCTCAGAAAATGAACAAGGAAATGGGAATGATCTTCCACAGGGGAAACAAGACAATAGTGTGATGTCAACTCCTGTCTACTCCAAGGAAATGGATCCAACTAGGAAGAGGGCCTTTTAATTCTTACTGTGAATATAATCAATGCATGATATATGCATGTGTGCAGATGTCACAGTGAATCTTATTAATTTGTGCACTTAATACATATTGATCATAACTTTAAAATTTTAATGAAAAATTATAGTTCTTACTATGAGAAAGAGAGTTGGCATATCTTTGCTTTATCTAGTTCCTTACTGTTACTTCCTTAACTTATGGCTTTGGGTAAATGCCCAAATACTGGCATTTAATCTTTGTCCCTACCCAATATAATCACTCATCTACTTAGTTGACAAAAATGCTTCTCTTTCTCTCTTTCTCTCTTTCTTTCTTTCTCTCTCTTTCTTTCTTTCCCTCCCTCCCTCTCTCTCTCTTTCTCTCTCTCTCTTTCTTTCTTTCCCTCTCTCCCTTCCTTCCTTCCTCTCTTCTCTTCTGTCTCTCTCTGCCCTTCTCTGTGTCTGTCTATCTCTGTCTTTCTGTCTCTTTCTCTTTCTAAAAGGAACACCTAAAATTTGTGTCTCATTCATATTAGAAGACTATATGTTCCAGCATAGTTATCACAAACACCCCTTAGTTTGGCAAGCCCAAACATACATTTGCAATTTCCTCTTAATCTAGATTTATGAAACATGGCCTTATTATCCCTGAAATGAGCACATTTATTTTCCATTCATTTTTATAAATTAATAAGAATTAATGCAAGAAAATATTTAAACACTCATCTAGATACAGCTGTATTAACAGGCTGGTGACAGCCCCATGATGGTTAATCTTGATTTCCTTCACTGATGCCTAGCAGGTAAGTACAGCACACCTTCATGTATGTATGGATGGCTCTGGAGGTGTGGTCTTGTAAGCTATATCTGCCCCCTGGCCCTTTTACTGCTGGTTCTGCTCCTGTGTTGTGCTCCCTTGTGGTCATACAATGGGCAGTTCCACTATGCCCTTTGCCCATGATGACAGCTTTGGGAACAGCCAATCATGGATGAATCTCTGAAACCAGGAGCCCAAATTAAACCTTTTCTCACTAAGTTGTGCAGATCAGTTATTTTATCCCAGCAACTGATATAGGGGAAATAAATGTAATTTCCTACCTGCTAGATGTCAGATATGCCAAGTTCATGATCCCCAAAATCAAAGAATGAATTCTAAAGGAACAATGGAGGTTAAGAGTAGGAAAAATTCCTTATGTGGAGTATCCTAGCTAACTGAAGGTTTTTTTCCAGACCACTATTTGTTCAATGTTGGTTTTGGGGATCTTTCTGAAACAAATCACATCCTCTGGTGTCTTGTTGTACTTGAGATTTTTTTTTAAAGGTATATGGAAAAAAGTTTAAGTGATTTTCAGTTCTGTTTTGGTTGAGTTCTACTGTATTTGAATATTATTGTAGTTTTTTTTCTCTTGCATTGTTCTTCTTTGAATGGTTTTAATTTCTGTGTGTGTGTTTGATAATAAAGTTATTTTTAAATTAAAAAAAGATTAGGAAAAATTTATTGAGAGAGACAGCTCCTGAGAGACAGGAGGGGACCCGAAAGTGGGTTACCAAATGAGCCCACTTCACAGAGGAAGTTTTATAGAGAAAAATCATGAGGTGGGTACAATGTGGGTCAAAACTATGATCAACCGATAAGATTACAGGTATAGCTGCTTAGGTAACACTGACCCAATGGGGAAGCAGGTGATGTAGCAAGTGTACATGGAAAGAACAAGGATCTTTTTAGGAAGAGATGGATCAGGAGATGCTGGTTACCCACCTAGAAGACTGATGTCTATCTAGACTTTCTTGGACCAGGTGATACAAATTATAGTATAATCTTCAATTTATTACTTATCCCTTGGGGAGGCATGTAGGCTTGGTCATTCTGTCTTTATCTTGAGGCTTGACCATTGGGAGATGCACCTCCAGCCACAGTTGTGAGGTGTTCTCATCTTCTGCACTGACTCCCTTGAGGGCCTAGCCCTGTCTGACCTCCTAGAATATTTCTACCTAACTTAGCTGTCTATAATATTCCCCCGCTTTGAAGAGGTACCCCTAACTGCTGTGAGGGGGTAAGGAATGATGACCATTCTGGCTACTTCTGGCTGAAAGGGGTTGTAGTTTTTATAGGCAGTCAGAGATACTCTCTAGAGGCTCTATCTAAAGATCCTAGATAGAAAAAAAAAATGGAGAGACTCCAAATGTGTGGTAAACGAAATCCACACAGGATGGATATGGGATATAAGGCTCCTTGCCTCATTTGATTTCTGCAAACAGAGGACACTGCAGCCTGGCAACAAATTTTGCTGGCACACACAGTTGAGAGTGACCAGGGAGCTGCTCCCTCCCTGATGGGCCACCAGTACTTTTTCCTCTGTTGAATACTATAGCAGCTAACTGGAACCTTTAGCAACAACAAAGTTAGGGACCAGGAGCAGTATCAAGGTAGTAAGTGGAACAACAGGACCTCTCTGCCCTACAACCAGTACAAGAGAGAGACTTGGACTGAGGACATGGCTTCGACCAGTGGTTCAAGTACCCTTGGGCCTGGAAGTCAGCACTCTCTCTGATTTGCAACCAGCAGCACAAGCAGCCTTGGGCTGTGGTGGTGGGACAAGGAGGGCAGCGCATGAGAGGAGCCAGTGGTGTGGAACACAGGAGGCTGAGCTAGGTCCAGGAGGGCCTAACTGTACAGGGAACTGGGAGCAGCCTTGGGCTGCCTCTGTCTGAGGGCTCCAGACAGCAACTGGGAGAGCAATGCAGAGACAAATAGGTTAAGGAGATGTGGGCATGCCGTCTAGAAAGTTGCTGGCTAAACACTGGCCCTAGCCCCCACATCCAGAAGCCAAGATTAGCCCGAAGCCAGCACTAATCCCACTGCAGACTTGGTGCAGCTATCCAGGAGAGATTTGGACTCTGACTTGGACACTGCCACAGAACTGTGGGCACCAGAGGAATTGTTTTCTTCTTTCTCTGTTTATTAGTTTGTTTCATTTTCCTTTTTCTGTTAGTTTTTTTTGGGGGGGGGATTGTTTAGGTTTTGACTTTTATTGTTTGTTTTGTTTTCCCCATCCAGTTTCTCTCTTTCCTCAACTTTCTTGATTTTTTAATATTTTCACATGAATGAACATTGTTGCTAGTCTTTCTGGTTCACTTTGAAATTATTTTGCTTTCTCCTTCATTCTTTCTCTCCTGTCCTCTTCTCCAGTTCCCCAAAGCTTGGATGATCATCCTCTGTCCTTAAGCCTTGCTTCTACTATATTTTTCTTCACTTATCACTCTGTTTTGTCATCTATCCCTCTTAACATCCCTTTCCTCCCAGGGTAAAATCACTCTACCAAGGGGAAACTCACTGCATACAAATTTCTGGTTTATTTTATTTGAGACAGGGTCTTGCTCTGTAGTTCAGGCTGACCCTAAACTCACCATGTAGCCCAGGCTAGCCTCAGCGATCCTCCTGCCTTTGCATCCCTAGTGCTGGGATCACAGGTGTGTGCCACCATGCCCAGTCCTCTGGTTTATATTGGATGTTGTCATATAACTATAGATCTTATTCCTATGGTTAAAGGTACCAAATTAGTAGTTATCACAGTTTGTCAGTTTCTAGGCTATGCTTGATGATATTGTTATTGCTAATTGTACTACTTCAGTCAGGATGCCATACCATTGCAATCAGTTGTTCTCTCTTGCATGACAACATTGTAGTTGTCTCAGGTCATAATAATCATCATAGTCCAGTACCAAAGGACTGGGAGCTAAGCCAAATAGTAACTTCTCAACCCTAATAAATTGGGAGGGAAGGATCTTGGGACAGACACAAAGACCAAGAGCCAGCTACACCTAGAAGACACCTCTGAGGAATAGACATTTCCTAGGGAAGCCTGGATATGAGTGATAAAGCTACCTACAATAAGCAACTTGAAATCATCAACACAGAAAAAAAATTAAAATAAAAAAATAGAAAATGACAAGACACAGAAGCAAAATGGAACCCCATACCTCCAGGATTTGTCCCCAGGACAAATTCAGGGAACAACAAGATAGAGAAAATCAGAAATCACTTAGTGGAAATTTCTGAAATGATAGCAGTAGAAGTAAATAAACAGATGAATGATGCTATAGAGAAAATCAGAGAAGAAATAACCTCACAGGCAAAAAAAGAGATGATGACCATAATGAAGGACCTGCTTAGCAAATGTAGAATAGATGTAGATAAAAATAAAGGAGCTTAGGAAAATAATGGAAACTATGAATGACCAACATAGGGATACATGAAACAGATTCAAACAGATATCCAATCCCAATGAAAGATGGCAAAACCAAATGAATTAACAATCCCAATGAAAGATGGCAAAACCAAATGAATGAAAGTGAAGACAGAATATCAGACCTAGAAGACAGGATTGGAGTTAATGTTCATGAAAAGAAAGATCTCTTAAAAATAGCAGGAGACCATGAAAAAACAATCCAACAGCTGCAAGATGATGAAAAGAAAAACAACATATGATTGATCAGAGTTGATGAAAAAGAAGGAGTCAGCACAAACAACATTTTTTTAAAAACTTGTTCACAGAAGTAATGGCAGAAAACTTCCCAAGCATGGGAAAAGAATTGGATAAACAGATAAGTGGGGCATAACTCCAATCAGCCAATACCAAAATAAATCTACACCAAGGGATATAATAATCAAGATCCCAGAAATTCAGGATAAGAACAGAATTTTAAAAGCTATTAGAGAA